CCACGAAGAACTAAGAGAGAACGCAGGCAATTAACAGACCAGCAGCAGCAGCAGGAGGAGGGGGAGGAGGAGGAGTAGTAGTAGTAGTAGTAGTAGTAGTAGTAGTAGTAGTAGTAGAAGTAGAAGTAGTAGCAGTAGTAGTAGTAGTAGTAGTAGTAGCAGTAGTAGCAGCAGCAGTAGTAGTAGTAGTAGTAGTAGCAGCAGTAACAAGGACAGGTTCGGGTGGGTTCACTGGGTTGACGCTGAAATCCACCCGAACCTCAACTCGGGGTCGGCCTTATCCCAAACCCCAGCTCCCGAACAGGTCAGAGAGCTCTTACCTGGCTTTGGGCTGAGCCTAACCGTGCTTAGGGTGTAGGATCTAGGGTGGGGTTCCATACCGGCTTTATCTTGATGCGGCTTATAATGGTTCAAAGTTTTGAAGTGGTCTTGAGGGCTTGAGGATTTTGAGGATGATGGGAGACGAATTGCGGCAATACTTCTCACGAGTTTTGTGGTCATGCTTTGAGAGCAATCTGAACCAACCCTGACACTGCATCCTCGGCTTTCGCCCTCCCTGCGTGACGCCCTAAACAGAAGGCCCTGAAGCCCCTTGCATGTGAGACCATGGGAGCCATGGGAGGCCGCTTGCTGGTCAAATCTCGAAAGCCCCTGTCAAACCCTAAACCCTAAACCCTAAAAACTAAACCCTAAACCCTAAACCCTAAAAACTAAACCCTAAACCCTAAACCCTAAAAACTAAACCCTAAACCCTACAAACTAAACCCTAAACCGCTGTCAAACCCGAAGATTTCGGAAACCTGAACTCTGCGTAGACCCCCCGACTCCATGCTGCAAGCTCTACACCCTGACTCCTATGGACCCCGAAGCCCTACTATGGGGGGCCTGGCACAATCTTAACAGGGTTTTGGGGTATGGTATGAGGCTCTCAGCAACAGCATCTGTAGCTAATAATTAGGGGCCTTAATAATTAGAATAGGGCTTTGGGGTGTACTATAATTACAATAAGGAACCCCCCAAAATAGTATTGGTAACGATTTAGACTTAAACCCTAAACCCTAAACCCTAAACCCTCAAGTAACCCTAAACCCCTTGTAGTATTCCGGCCCTACCTGTGCCCATTATACCCCGAGTTCCAGGCGCAGCTGAGCGTCTGCGGATGCTCGGGTCCCAAGGAATCCTGGTAACATAGGGTTGGGTTTAGGGTTTAGGGTTTTACCGATACTTTTTTGGGAGTTCCTCATTACAAAACTACTGATCAGCATAGTATAATATACTTTTTGGGGGAGTTCCTTATTATACTATAAGGTAATATAGGGGCCTAAATAATTACCGATACCTTTTTGGGAGTTCCTCATTACATAAATACTGATCAGCATAATATAATATACTTTTTTGGGAATTCCTTATTATAAGTATAATGATCTATACAATATAATATACCCCGGAAACCCTATTCCAGTTATTAAGGCCCACATATCACGCTCCGAGCTGAAGGTTCTAAGGCTCGGGCGGCGCCTTTAGCGGCTAAAATTTAAAACCAAAGCCCTAAAACCAAAGCCCTAAACCCAAAGCCCTAAACCCTGAACCCTAAACTGTCATGTTCATGTGAACGCCCTGCAATCCTCTAAGCTCCGGAGTTGCGGGTGCTTAAAGGGCTTTAGAGGCCAGGGTTTAGGGTTTAGGGCTTAGGGCTTAGGGTTTAGGCCCTAGGCTTTAGGGTTCAGGGTTTCGGCTTTAGGGTTTAGCGGTTTGAGCTTAGGGTTTAGCGTTTAGAGCTTAGGGTGCAGGGTTTAGAGCTTAGGGTGCAGGGTTTAAAGCTTAGGATTTAGGTTTTAGGGTTTGAAGGGCATTCGAACCTTGGATTTTTTGGGCTTGGGCTTGGAGGCTGACGCATTTGAGGCTTGAGGCTTCGCACGACTGCGAGCATTAATTAGGAGTCAGCGGAGTTTAGGTATTAAGTGAAGGGTCTATAAGGCTTTCTCGGGGTTTTAAGGAGAGAGGCCTGATTTTCGATGTCACAGCTTGAAGGAACCCTAAGCCTTCTGTCCACCCTACACCCCAAACCCTAAACACCCAACCCCCAATGCCTAAACCCTAAACCCCTCAACCCCCAAACCCCTAAACCATAAACCCCTCAACCCCAAACCCTCAACCCTAAACCCCTCAACCCCTCAACCCCAAACCCCAAACCCTAAACCCCTCAACCCCTCAACCCCTCAACCCCTCAACCCCTCAAACCCCCAAACCCAAAACCCTA